GTAGTTTGCTGTGCATGGGCCAACTGAAACACTACAGAAATGCCACGGCCTCTGCACCTCTTCCAATTACAAAACCCTAAAATGGCCTACCTAAGCTGTTAACAAACACTGATCTAATCTCTTACTGCTTTCAAAATAAATGGAGAATCAGAACCGTGACATTCATTTTTTGTGATGCACATAACCTGTGTTGTTGCATGTGCTGCTCGGTGCCTGCACACACACATGGATATGGAGACATACAGTGATGTATTTGCACACAGTTCTTGCTGAAAACAGCTTCAGGACAGTGCCGTGTTCTACACTCTGACTGAGAAGCAGAGTATGTCCCAAAAGATGGGTCTCTGTCAGGGGTGCTGCAAGGCCAGTCTGCATCCATGAGTCACCAAATGGGAGGAGATGTCTCACTGGTTCTGGTGTGTGCTTGCAGGCAACCAGCAATGTGCACTGTCAAAAATATGAGCACTTGCAAACATTTCGAGTCTACCTCACGAGCTCTGAAAAACCTCTAGAGGTCTAGACAGCCAGCTCTCAGAGCCCATCTACTGCTGATAGTTAAAGGGACTGACCTCACTCTGCCTGTGCAGTACACTGCAGGACTCTGCAGAGATCAAGTTAGCACTACCAGAGCTGGCCATGGAAACAGAAGCAGTAAGTTGCACCTATATGACAGGATATCTTGAGTTCTGATTTCCAGGATGAGATGCTTGGCTTTGGCAGTTAGGCTGACATCAGGACACAGGCTCAAGCATTCAGGCTGCCCTGCAACCTCTCCAGCAGTATCAGTGCATTCAGAGATCTATGAAGGCTGCAGAAACCCTTGCTAAAGTAGTGCAGAGAGAATCAAATTTGACTCCATTGTGGAGGTGCTAGTAACAATTAGAAAAGAAAGACATTTTCTCAGTAACCTTGCTCCTAGTGATCTTACATTGAAAAGAATACTATCTACCTATGTATTGTAAAACAAAATAAGGATAGTTCTCAAAGATTTTTAGGATTTCCTGATATTTGACTTTTTTCTGTATTTTGTATTCTGCATTTGTATTCTGTACTCTGTATAATCGCAACTGTTGCTATTTCAGTAACATTAAATGTTGAAAAAATAGTGCTGAAATGTTCATTAGAAAAATTCCATCCTAAATACGTGCCCTCATTATGATGATCTCATGGTAAAGTCAGTGGTTTTTATGAGATTTCTAAATACAACGACATTTATTTTTCAGGCAAAGAACGTATTGCTCCTGTGGTGTGCATGTTAGATGGTAAAGAACATGATAAAAAGAAAGGTCACGGCAAAGCACTTTGATGAGAAATGAATAATTTGATTATTTTCATGGTGTGGATCAATAATGCTCTGCATCTACTGAAACCCACTGCCTGAGGGCACTTAGATAATCAATGGCGTAAAACAGAGCCTGCCTTTGCCCAAGCTTGCAGCCTCTCTGATCTTTCTTGGGAGGACCCTTGACGCCTTTAATTTATGTCAAGAGCATATCAAAGAAATTCCACAAAGCCTGGGTCATAAAGGGTATTTTAGTGGCAACCATTTGAAGTCTACGTACATATGTTCCTTATGTAACTCTGTTTAAGTGCTTCCTCTCCAATGACTAGGAAATCCTAGAAAGGCACAAATGCTACCTGGTACCAGTGTAACAATCAGTGCTTTGGAAAAAGAAGGTTGGCTAAATGGGGAAAATCTAACCCATTCTTCACTGTAAGCTGGCAACAGTCCAAAGGCAAGAATTTCAGTTAACAGGGCATGTAAATAAACCCGTTTGCACCACCCAAGAATTCCCTCTAATGATGTGCTGGACATTGACATTTTTAATTTAAAAGAGCAGTCACTGGAAAAAATTAGTTCTGCACGATACTGGGGAGAGACAGTTGAAGACATGGTTTTCTTCAGTAATTTCTCTGTTCATTTGCGGTGAAAAAAGGGAGCTGGCATCTTCCAGCTGCCAAAATCTTTCAAGTCAAGGATACTTACTTCATTCTGTCTGTGTTGCTATTTTTCCCATCAGGGCTTCTCAAGCAAGAAAATGTTTCCCAGTGGTAATCCTAGTACCACAATGCTTTAACAGTATTTCCTCACTTCTAAACAAGTTTGGCTACCATACTTTGAACACGCACACAGGCGCGTGCACACACATACACACGCACGTACATGCACATAAACATACACACAAGCAGGCATACAGAGTCAACGCTGTTTTTCCTATCTGCATGGATTTTTTGTCAGAAAATACTATTTTTCCACCTTGCAATTTACTTTAACAAGACAATAGATGGTGCGTAATCTTTTGTAAAGAACTAGGAAAGCATTAACCAGCTATTAAGAGAAATACGGACTGCAGTACATAGAGTTTAAGCAATGAGATAGTAAAACTTGTTTTCAGCATCAACGTCATTGATTTTCTATAGCAGTTGAAGAGTGGATAAAATTGTTGCACTTATTAGATCTCTGCTGATTGTTCAACATTAACTAAATCCACAAAATAAATACATGTAAAATTGATCAGGTGATTTAGGGTCAGATCTAATTCCCAAGGTCAAGTAACCCTTTGAACATACTCTAAGTACATAATCTTAGCACAATCCATCAAAGAAACTCACACACTCTTTTCTTCTATTGGCTCTTATAAAACACTAAAGTTTAGGAGATTAAGTGGAGTCAGCTTCAGTAGACACAGCAATTCTTCCCAAGTGCTAAACCTCTCCCTGCAATGAAAACTTTCTGAAGCTGGGTTTACAAAATCCTATTGCTGACTTTACAACTGACCTAGAAATTACTATTCACCACCACTTGAAATACTGTGGATTTTTTTTGTTTGTTTTCTTTTTTTTTTTCAACTGTCTTCTGTAAAGTATTGCAAAGGACGCATGGTAATGTTTTTGAGCACGAAACAGCTTAGAATTAAAAATGTTTCTTCAGGTCATATCCAACTAGGAGGTTGCATACCTGAGAGATATGCTTATGATGAGAATCACAATCTGGACCCTGAAGTTTGGTTTGTGATGACTGAAGAATACACAGTCCCTGTAAGTGTATTTTCGGATTTGGAACCAGAGAGTGAATTTCCAATGACTCTTAGCTATTTCTTCCCCGATCCCAGACACCTTTCTCTCTCATCTCTGAACTAAACCACGATTCCTGAAGTCTATACATAGAGTGACGTGGGTCTGTACTCTCTTGTTCTCTCTCCTTTTAGTGACATTCTAGGTAAAAGCATCCTTGTCTAGGAGCTTAATGAACATGGAGAATGGGATGTAACTACTAATAACTATGAATGAATAGTTATTCTATCTAGACAACACTAGAACTAGATTCTGTGTCTTGTGCTGCGAAATGCACTGGTTTCATCTTTTCTTAGGAGGCATGATCTTTTCTCTCATTTGCTATGTACAAAAAGATGGAACTGTCAGGAATACAGCTGAATATATAGCTGAATAAGAACACATAAGTGAGCTTCAGACAACAAGTAATGTGCTTCCAACAGCTATGCGTGACCTCGTGGGTTCAATTTGCTTATAATTAGAGTGTGAAATGGTGTCAGGAGAAGGCATCCCTCTGGGAAATGTGGGAACAATTTCCAAAGGAATGCTATATTGTACTTTACAATACACTGTCAGTAGTATTTGACATGGTTTACAGAGTCATGAAAAAACTAAACTACATCCCAGGAATCACATTTTTCTCCTTTATGGATGGACAAAAGGGTGATGAGCTTTATGGGAAGAAGCAGAAGAAGAAATATTTTTGATAAAAGACTATACCATATATCCAAATGTTTATAAAAATATCAGTCTATACCCACAAAATTTGTCAGCTGTGAACTAAGGTGCTCTAAACACAGAGATTCCATCTAAGATTTTTGTTATTGGTGAGTCTTCATATGCATACTATAATATTTTTCATGTTTGAACAAATCTAGAGTGAAAATCTTTTTTCTGCATATTTATATTGAAATGAGTAAGAACAGAGTAGAGTAATGAAAAGAAAAAGGCAGCAAAAGGTTTTGGCGTTAGTGAAACTCAAGGGCCTCTGAAGCTAAAATATGAGGGAAAAGCTTCAATTTGAAGGATGTTAATTCAACATTCATAAAGATTCAGAACAAATATATTAACAGAGTCCCTGAAAACAAGTAAGACATGAATGAGATAGGTTTGTTTTTCCTCACTCTGACCAATGTTCCTACTTTTTTGGTCACTCCACCAAACTGACATTTTGAGTGAGGACTCCCTAATGTGAAATTCATTAGCTTGAACACAAGGCAATCATGCATCTCCCTTTTTTTCCCCAAAGGCTTTCAAACATAAATGTTATGTAGCTATGCCTCTCTCTCAGCTACCACTTACACTGAGTTCAAATTATGCAATAGTATTGTGTAAAAGAGAGACACTATAAAATTATTGTTTTTAATGAAATTAACTTATAGGTATTCCTAACATACTCCAAGTGAGAAAGCTAGATATTAATTTTTTTACATTTTAATTTTAATTCTTAAGTGTTATGATTTTATTCAAATCTCTCCCCATCTGTTTTCAGGACTATTACATATGAGCAAGAACACAGACCCATAGAAAATTACTCTGGAGGTAGCACTGCAGTATTTTTAGTATTCTATTGTTTCTTTTTTCTTCTTTTTAAAAGAGAGAGCAGTCTATCATTGTAATGGCATGACATACCAATCATTTTTAGCCAAAAATACTCAAAATTCTCAGAGGGCAGATTTTACATAAAACTTGTGTGACTATTTGAGGTTGTAGGTGTAGCCTGTGGGTGTATTTTGAAAATCCATGTCAGCAAAAATTTATAATGCTCTTTTCAGCTCTCTAGATACTTTTTTAGCAAAGTTTACCACAGGAGTGAATACCAAGCCTATTTGTACAGCAAGACACAAATCTATTTTCTCTTTCTCTCACTCTCACATTTACACACATCGACACTCGCTCTCTCACTTATGCTGAAGCAGGTACCAGTTCATGTGAATGCTGCTTACCTGATCACATCTCATCAGTCCTAAGTATTTGAGAGACTTGCTGCTCTGTGCAATCTGGGTAGCTCCATGGTCTGTAATTTCTTTGCACCATCCAACATCCACCGTCTCTATTGTCATGCTGTATCGTCCAATGGCTATCAGAGCTGTAAAAAAGTCAGAGATATGAGCCACAGAATTAGAAAAGACAGTTATACATAAGCTCAGTTATATGTATACATTAAATGACATTGAAAAGGAATTGTCAGAAGTTTTTAGGTACTGTGTAATAAATACTGTATTTCAGCATTTTGTATATGCTAAACTATATGCAACTATAGATTAGCCATCAGATTAGGAATACAGATATGCAAATACACATACAAAAAACCCAGAGATAAACAGATCTTTTGATATATTTTTCTATCTATTTAATTCACACAAATAGACCAGTTAGCACAGGTAACTCCATGCAAATTCTAATTACTTTATTTGGAAGGATCAAAGACAAATGAATTGAGATTTTGAGATTGAAATAACAATAGAATTTAAAAAAACCCTACCACACCATTCAAAGAAAATAACAAATAAAATCAACACCTTTTTTTTTTTTTTTTTTTTTTTTTCCCAGCAAATTGATTTTGCAAAGACAGCAGAAAGAATAACAGGACATTTCCTGTGTCAATGAAACAAACAGATTTAGGAAACCCTGAAGGTATCTTACATCATGTATTTTACAACAGTATTCTAAAAATGCATTTCCTAATGTTTATAATGATGATGCGACAACAATCATGCGCTTCACTTCCATGTTTTCTTCAGGAACACTCTTCTAATGAAAAATAAAAAAATAAACAGGTCAGGAGGAGGAATTAAAACAGGAACTTGAATTTGAACTTTCAAGAAAAGAAAGGAAAGAGGAACTGGAAATTCTAAAAGGATTGAAAACCACTGAGAATCTGAACAACTTGGACAAGTATTCTCATGACATGGTAGTTTGGAATGACGTACAGGATTCAGATCACTATCACCTTGGTCACCAGAGATTATAAAACTTGTCAGGAAATGCAGGCTCAGAAACTGTTAGTCCAGTTGTATTTTATTAACAGCAATGAGCAGCTGCTTTCAGTAGCTGAAAACTCAGCTTAAGAAAAAGTCCAAGGCTTCCAGTGCAGGAAGTCAAGAGGCTGGATGTTTGCTCTTCGTATTCTAGATATGATGCAGTTGCTGAAATGGAGATGAAGGAGTGACTTAGTACAAATAATAGAAATATCATTAAGGGAAATATACTTCAGATGTAGTCCGATTCTGTTCATAATACAAAGCCTGCTGGCACAAAAAGAAATAGTTATGAAGAGTTGTTAGCTTTTGATATTAATCTGAGCTAATCAGAGTATATCTGAGTGCTGGAAGCAGAGAGAACCCACCTGACCTTGCATTAGTTTTGTTGAGACCTGTACTAATGGCAGATGACAGCAAGGACAATTTGTTAAGTTTTAAATATTCAGGTGGACTTGATTTGCAACCAAAATCAGCCAAAGGAGGCCAAGTACATTCTTACAAGCTGTGGAAGATGGAGTAGAATGCAATTTTTTTTTTTTTTTCCCTGCCGTTCATCAAAACAGAGCAATGATAATTGAATCTTGTAGCTGACATAAAGAACTTTTGATACAGTTATCTGTGTACTTTCATTATGATTTCATTGATTTTTACATGACAATACCAACTCCCTATTTCCAGTACATCCCTAAAAACAAATCTTAATTCTGCAGATGGATAAATTTTTATGTAACAGAACATAAACCTTGTACTTTGTTCCTCATAGCCTTTTAAAAGTATTGCTATAATAAAAGTCATGGGGAGAAAGCCGGAAACTTTCAGTGCTTGTTCTGTGATAACAAAAGCCAGAGGAATTTCAGAATACTTTATTAAAAATGTTTTAGACTTAAATGTTGTGCAGGACTACTGAAAGCCTACTTTAGAATACTATCAGTTAAATATAATTTGAAACACTTTTTGTTTTTGAATATTTCCGCTAGTTTCTGTAAAGTTACTATAATCTGTCATCATAATGAGAAAACAAAAAAGCACTCATTTTCAAGGCTTCATGAAAAAGTGATAAATGGAAGAAAATCAGCAGAGAATACCTTCAAAGGAGTGACATTAAGGATCAGATGTCACTGGTGAAGAATTCTCTCAGTAAAGGTATTACAGGAAATTAGACGTATAACTCCTACAAGCTCCTTCACAACACTTAGGTTAGAAGAAAAGAAGGGAATGATGCTGTTGCAATATTAAAAAAAGGGTGCTCTATGAAGAAAGCTCAAGACGATAACCTAACCTGAGCATCATTACTCCAATGAGCTATCTTGAATGTGGCTTAATGCAAGAAATTTCATGCAGGTGTTTCAATTTGCTCATAGTGAACAAACTGTAAGAATAAAGTATCTATTTCTCACTTATACATACAATTATATAACAAAATAAGTACAACCATTTTATAACAAAATGTAATTTAAACATGCTTTAATAGCATTTAGTATGCACATCCTTGTATTTTGGCATTTTGAGGGGGAAAGCATTTAATTTCTAGAGCAGGACTTTAAATCATACATTAATTTTACGATTTTTTGTAAGAAGATAAATATTTATCTTGAACTAATGGAAAAGGGATTTAATAATTATTGAAACAAGAACAAAACAGTTATCAAATAACATATTATGAAGCCTCTTTGCAAAACTGGCCTTCAATGAATGAATAAATAAGATAATTCCAAGGTCTGGAAAACCTAAATAACTTCTGTAAATGAAAATGTGTTTGTGTAATGTGAAAATATGAAAATGTGTACGTGTTTTTTTTTTTTTTCATTCTCATTCTTATATTCTGTCAATTACCAGATAAACCAGAACATGTGACTTAAAGGTAGTGTAAGACAACCACCGTATTTTTCATTCAAGTAACAATACTTGCAGGAACAATACAAAAATAAATTAAAATGCCTGAACTTTTCCATGAATATGACACACACACACACACAAAAACTGACTGAAAAAAATAATCCAACTCCGTGATCTTGGAGGTTTTTGGAGAAGAACACATTTTACAGTTCAGATTGATTTTCAAACAATTGTTAATCTGATGCCTTCACTTGTTCTTCACTTTAATGTACATGAAAATAAACACTGAAATTTCATGCTGTAATTGATCTATGTCTCTGATCTGTGTTTCAAGTATGTTTTAGGCCAGTGATGCCTGTGGTGCACTTCAGGCTTGGGATGGCTGCATGGACAGTGCTTTTGTCTGGCTGGCCTTTCCCCTGCAGCATATTCACCAGTGTCTCTACTCTGACTTCCTGTGGAGCCTACAGATAACATATGCACATATTTGGTTTCCCGTTCAGCAGGATTAAGTAGCTGGATGTTCTTTAGTAAATAGGTACACATTTTTGTTATTTAATTACAAGTGATGCTAGAAATCAATTATGGTATTACAGATGGTGTCTGCCTGATGGCTGTTACAACATTCTCTCAGTGTTCTAGCAGAAAAGCACAGATTTATGTTCTACTTTGCTACTCCTTGTCCCCAGATTAGCAGATGTCTTTCTGGAAAAAAAAAACAAAATATTTTGACAAGAGCATATTCAAAACATTTCACTGTGTGATATATCACAACAGTTAATGTATGAAATGCACAGAGTATGCCACTTGAAAAAACTGACAGCATTTTTAGAAAACATTAAATGTGTGTAACTGCACCCTTATGAGAACAATGTTGGTCAGAGAAGTTATCTACTATTCACCCTCCGGCAGCACCCAACAGTGGAGGCCAAAGAAAGAACATGAGAAAAGATAAAAATATAATGATGCTTTCACCATGAAAAAAATTACAATCTGAAACTTCTGAAGTGAGGATGGTGGCTGTATACTTCTATAAGTCCATTTAATCAGTCATTTTACATGAAAAAACTGGTAGGACAACCTGCATCACACAGTACATCTGTTCGGCTGCCTTCTGTTTTGAAAACCACCTTCACTTGCTTGTTTTGAATCTGCCCTAAAACTTGGTCCCTTTTGTGACTGCTCAGTTCCCTTTCAAATGCTTTCTGGAAATCCCAGCAGTCTGTATCAACCAGGCCTTCCTTATTCCTTGCTGACTTCTTCAAAGTACTCTGATACGACTGTGAAGCATAATTTCTCTTAATGAAGCTGTGTCAACTCTTCCCTGATATGTCATATTTATTTATGTGTTCACTAATTGTACTTCTAATTATTGCTAATTTGCCTTACACAGATGTCAGGTTTATCAGTTAATATTCCTCTGATCTTCCCTGAAACTTTTTTTGAAATACCTCTGCCAAAGCAGTCCTATGCTAGTTAAGCAGGGTGAAGTTAAAGCTTAGACAGCATCTCGGCTACCTCAACTGTAAGTTTTTTTAGAAGTCTTGGATACACACAGTCCTTCTGCTTCAATGAACAAAATACTTTAAGCCGCAAGTTTCAGCTGGGAAAATGTTTGCATTGCTCAACAGCTTTTTTTTTTTTTTTTTTCCCCACCCTGCTCCGACTGCATTTGCCCACAATAAACACAACACGTTGCTATTCTCAGAAAGCTCGGCGGTAATTTAACAAGGACGTGTGCAGCAAAAAGCCTTATGAAGTAAGTCTGGATTCTTTGTCTTTGGAACTTGTAGCACAATCAGCAATAAAGAACAGCCAAAGGTGTGCTTCTATCTGATGAGCCAGGCTCTAGATGTAGCAAATGACAAAACAGAAAAACCGCACACTGAAGTTGAGCTGAGTGCACAAAAACCCACCATTTCGTTTACACTTGCTGGCTTTGACATATGAACTTCTCTGTAAGTAAATATTTAGCAGTGCATCCAATTCTTTTCTCTCCTTTTTCATACTTCCACTTATTTTGGCAAAAGCAAGTTTTCATGTTTCTTTTTGCGGAGTTGGGTTAGAGGAATGGAAATCAACTGATGTACAGCTCCTACAAAGCAGAAGATAAAGTGTAATGTCTCTAACTGGAATTGGAAAATCACCCCCACAGCCTTGAGCTGTATTAAGTAAAAAATTCTCCATTTACAGTGGTACTCGTAGTTTGTTGCAGCCAAGAGGGTGAAAGGGCACATGCAGGTATTGGTCTTTTAGATAATCAGTTGGA